ACTTCAGTCTGGACAGAAAAAAAAAATTAAGTGGCATATGTTATAATCTGCCTTACTTTCCCTAATAATACAATTTAAAACCTTTAAGTCGAATGTATTACACATCTGGCAGAAGGATAAAAGAATCATAGAATCACAGAATGGCCTAAGCTGGAAGGGACCTCAGAGATCATTTTAATCCAGCCTCCCTGTCGCCAGGGACACCACCTCTCGACTAGATCAGGCAACACATGGGGACCAAATGGGAATCGAACCCGTCACCTTGGTGTTGTTAGCGCTACGCTCTACTGACTGAGCTAACCAGCCCACTCTCCTAGGAGGGAAACAAAAAAATCTGGGATGAAAATACTGAAGCAAAAAAACCCCACACAACGCAATGTGCTGAAGAAAGACACATAAAAAACCCAGAAGTTTTATTTGTATGTGCCTTAAGTTACCTGTGAAATGACTTGCAGACTAAAAATTCCGGGAAAATGTGAAACAGTTCAGACAAATGTTATCATCTGGACTTTTGGAAGGCTGTCATTGACAAGAAGGCCACAGTCTAATTCTTTTGGCCAGTTCTGTGAGACTGCTGGTTTTATCCTCAAAGTCTACTCAGACTCACAAGCCAAAGTTCTTAAGGATAAAAGCATTTTTAGCCCCAGTCAAGCAAATGATCTATTAAAGGTCTACAAATAAAGTTATTTTACATATCTACATGCCTGTTACTAACAACATCATACCTTCTGAAAACTCCGAAAGCCGATTTCCTTGTAACTATGTATGCCATGTGCTTACAGCACTTCTCAACTTGCAAAATGTGGTTTTATTCTATCATTTTGAAAGCTTTTCAATGGAAGTCAGAAGAGCCCAAATTACCTTTGCATTCACAACAGTCAACAAAAATAGAGCTGACATTTCATAGAATCATGGCCTAGGCTGGAAGGGACCTTAGAGACATTTAATCCAACCTCCCTGTTATGGGCAGGGACGCCTCTCAACTAGATCAGGTAACACATGGGGACTAGATGATCTTTTGAGGTCCCTTCCAGCCCCTAACATTCTGTGATTCTGTGTGACCGAACGGGAATTGAACCCGTGACCTTGGTGTTACCAGCATCACGCTCAGCCGACTGAGCTAATCAGCCCCCTATTATGAAATGTTTTGCCAGAAACCAGACTGCTGATGTTAAGGATAAAAAAACCCAACACATACACCAAGGTCAAAACTGAAGAGCTTTATCTAACTGATCTTCGCATCAATTACTTCAATTAATCTCAGGACCCAATTGACAAAACAGTTCACCCATACCTGTCATGAATGTTTTTCTTCTCTGTCACTTCATATTAGAGCATACATTAGAGCACTTGCATTTGTTTTAAAAAAATCTGTCTTTGAGTGTCAGAATGGAACTATTCTTTACTACTTCATCCAGAAAGAAATAAGAGATTTTGCCTTCAGCTGCCACAAACTGCAGTTTTAGAGGTATTGTACTGATATTTTACCAAGAGCTCCTGTTTGAGCAGTGAAATGTTGGAGGTCATCAATAAAATTCCTACTCTGCAAACGTGCTCTTCTGGTTCAAAAACACAGTGTGCAATACAATCCAATTGAGTTGGAAATAAAAAGAAAAAAAACTCTAACTGAAGCCTTATGACCAAAGGATAATCCTTGCAGACTACTGTGAACATCTTTCCAAGGGAAGAGTATCTTTAAACTACATCATTTACTGACATAATGACAAAGCACTCAAAACATATTGTGTATTTGTGATTAGGGAAATAAAATCAGCATACTGTTTCCACTGTCAATTGGAAATCTGTGGCATTTTCAGGCCTGTTTTTGTTTCAAATGTGTGAAAAGAGTGGTAATCCAAGAAAACAAAATGAAAAAACAACCCACCCATAAAACTAGAAAGAAACCAAAGGCCTAAATATGTTAATGTCAACTGTGAAAGAGTTCAGCTAAGGAGGACACCTTTCAGATGCAAGAGGTGACTGGGGGTAAAGGGAATGTGCACGTATCACCTCATGAAATATTGTTTTAAGGCTTCCAAAGGTTGCTGAGCAAGCATGGGGAAGAAACACCAGAGGGAGAAGAATACGAGCTGTTTATAACTGTCTGATGTTTTACTCCAGTTTTGTTCATCTACCGTAGCTATTGTAGACAACTAGACTTAAAGCTGAAGACAGAAGGGTATTATCTGCCTTTTTAGCAGTCCAGTTTGTGATATGACTGACATCTAATGCTGTCACCATGAAATTAGCTTATACTTTTGCGTGCGTGCTTTTGGGGGTGGGATTGGTAGAGTGTATGGTTTCCTTTTTTCCCAAGGCTTTGGGTTTCTGTTTTTTCTTTGTCTCTTTCGGTGTTTTGTTGTGTGTTATAACAATATTTCACAGTAGATATACAGACTTTGGTTGCTTAAAGTTATTTTAAAATAAAAGCTTGGGTTTTACTACAAACATAGAGGCAACTTTAATGCAAAGTTGTGTATAAACAAGACAGCACTAATCCTCAAGTCACTAATTAAGCACATTACTTCTGATCTACATTTATTTAATCTAAAATTTCATTTGGTAGTTTTTGATGCAATTATATCTATTACCCTGAAGTGGGCAGATCACAGTAACATCAGATCAAGCACTGATCCTCATTTGTTCTCCAACTAATATCTGCGTGTCTATGGTTTGCAGGAATACAAGCCACAGAGATCTCAAGTAACCACCTTATGGAGCTTGTAATCTTAAAGAATGTAGAGAATGAGAGGCAGAAAATAAGCAAAGGTGGATTTTTATACTTTTTTGCTGACAATACAGGAAAGAGCAATATGAGATTCTTGTCTTTATACACCATCCTTCAGAAGAGAAAATTGTCTTCCTGTGCTAAAAAATCCCCATTTATCAGTGGATTAAACCTCAACATATGGGTTAGGCTGAAACGAAAATATCTTTACAATTCCCAAGTACTTTAAAATCAAGATTCCTAAACTACTTTCACTCCATTAAAGAATTCAGGGCCTTTGTTTTTCTGCTTGAAAAAGCCTAAAGACAAGGAAATCCTGCCGAAGGAGAAGAAAGTCCTATAACTATAGGACTGTAGTTATCACAAGGCTAAGAAATAAAATGAGTGTTTAGGTGATTCATTACTGTCTCTGGCCAATCTAGATCAAGATCCAAGAATGCCG